AGCATTGCATTGCATTGTCACACACAAACAGGAAGCAGCAACAGCTTTCAGGCTTTTCAAATTAAAAGTTTTAAGAGTTGCACTCATATAGAAAGAGCTGTTCCATCTCGTCTGAACGTCGTCATGGAGACGATTTGTGGGCTCTTCCTACAGTTCAGTCTGACCCTCTTCAGAGTGAGACTGTGTGAGTGGAGGATTTTTAAAAGTGCCCAAACATCTGTCTTTATCGGTGATGTGGATCGACGCCGTCAGTCCAATATTCGATATGTAAATATAAGATCAGATCGGTCCCATCTCTGCTTTGGAGGACTATACCATGACTACAAAGCAGTCAATGTTTGTTTTCTCCGACAAGTTAGATCTTTGATCTTATGAGGAAAATATGTGTTATTGTGACGAGGTGAACTGTTGCCTGTTTACTTGAATCCTTTGAAAAAAAGCCTCAAGCAGGTCATGATTGTTTTCCATGACAGTGTTTCAAAGTATCTGAATTTTAAATAATTTAAAAGCTAGAGCCTTTATTCTTTTTGCAGCCAAAGCAAAGACTTCAGTCTTTCATATAATCACTTCATCGAGGACGACAATAGGTTACGTTGTTGTTGAAATGTAGTGCAAACGTGCAGCTGGAAGGTACGACTGCAATGTAAACACATATATTTGCAATCTTGTTTGTTTTTTTTGTTGAAGGTTTTTTGAGGGGTTTTTTGTGCCTTTATTGTAGAGATAGGACAGTGGATAGAGTCGGAAATGGGCCAGAGAGAGAGTGAGAGAGAGAGTGAGAGAGAGAGTGAGAGAGAGAGAGAGAGAGGGGAATGACATTCGGGAAAGAAACCACAGGTCGGAATCAAACCCGGGTCGCCCACTTGGATGACTATAGCCTCTGCAATCGTGTTTTAAGTGAGCCATGATGGAATCTTTAAAATCTGGAGCTAACATTTTAAAAACTGTTTTTTTTATTGGTGCAGATTGTTTGTGTCTACGTTTAGATTTGTTTTGGATTGTTATGTTTTCATGTTTACTTTGAGAAAAAGCTGATCCAACTTCACGTCTGATGTCTGTGTCGATATGTCGATACTCACATAAATGTTTATATCTCATTGACTTACATAAACGTAGGCTGGGCAGATTTTAGAGCGATTAATCATGAGACGATTCTCCAAAGAAATTATTTCACGAATAAGAAACAAAACACCAGAAGTAGACACCGGCAAACCTTTTCCATTTTCTCCTGGCTGAGTTCAAAGGGTTTCATACTGAATATTGATCAGCAGATTAAAATGCCTGCAGATCTGAGGAGAATAATTAAATCAAGTAAACATTAGTCTAATCCAATTATGAAAAAGTTGTTTCCAGCCCTGATAGAAGCAAAAAATGAAAAATCTCTTTCTGTATTTTTCTTCAACAATACTTCACTGCTTTTCTTCCTTCAATCCACTCTCACTCTCTTCATAGCACGATGAAGCAAAGTGTGCAATAGTTCATTGTATCTAAGCTTTTAGTTTTCAGAATTTGAGAGAGCATTGATGCTCAGCCCGGACCTCTATGTCAGAGTTTAGTCAGGTCGGAATTCCTTTAAATTGCCCTTCCTGACCTTAAACTGTCATTACTGAACTGGCTTGAAGTGCTCCACATCCGCCCCTATACCCACAACCTCTACATGTCTAGCAGCTCCGCACTGTTTTTAATGTGGACCCCTTGCTCAGTTTCTCTGTTTCCATGGATACGGACACAGTGTGTTCGGCATCTCTCGGCATTTGCCTCTCCAAAGGGCAGTGTGGACTCTAGATTTCCACCTTGTTTTTGTGCGGCTGCCTACGTCCGACCGAGGCCGACACAATATCCTCATAATGCATCTTTCTCTCTTTTCACACTGCACAGTGTTTTATTTTTCCAGGACTAATGAGGCAGGACGGCACAGACACTCAAGTGAACAGTGACACACACAACGGCTGTATGCGACCTGTTTTCCAGGAAATAATACGCAGGCAGGCTCTATTTTCAGTACCTTGGACAGATCTCAAGAAGTAACTCAAGAAGTAGCTTTGTAAAGGATGTATAGCTGTGTCCTTCAAAACCTCTCCTTCATTAAGAAATAGCACAAATGCATTATATTCCTACTTTCATGGACATTTCCTCATCACACTTTTTCACTCACAGAACAGTGGGTATGCTCTTAGGTCTGTGTGATTTCTCTAAAAGCAGGTTTACACATCTGTAATTACCGCACAGGTAGGTGGCAGTGAGTCATGAGAGCGTCCCATAACTTTGAATTGTTGCCTTGGGACTTTAATCTCTGCAACATTAGAAGCTTTCAAGTGTTGTATGTTAAAGGCTGAGATTTCTCACTCTTAAATATAATATAAATCAAGTATATCCTCTGAAAATAACTCTGTGAGTCATGACTGTCTACAATGGGTGTAACACCCGAGTCCCACTGTCTGTGATGCTTTCAGAGTTTTCAGAGTCCTATCTTCAGTTTGTTTACATCGCCGGGACGGCCGGCTGACTCCTCCCCTCGTGTATAAAAGTTGTTTAATTGAGGGACTAGAGAAAAGAAGAATAACATACTGTACTCACTGCTTAACTGTGTTTCTAGATCACGCTCATTTCAGGTAAATTTACATGCAGTGTGAAGATACCAGCATAATAAAGATCGCTAGCATTAGCATGCTAACCCACAATGCAGCGCAAGTTGTTTTGGTTTCATGCTGGTGCTCAAGGGCGACACCTGCTGGATGAAAAAAATTGCATATAAAGCCTTTAAGTTGCATCTTTCTCTAAAGCATTGCAGAGAAAGCATGTATTTCTTTTCTGATTCTTTGGGTAAATTGGCAGTATTTAAAACGATAGAAATGATAATTTAAGGAATGCAGAAGGGTTAACCAGATAACACCTCGTCACAGGAGCATCAGAAAATGTATTAATTAACAGCACACACCTTATCCTGTTTGTGATAAAAGTTTGAATCCGACACAAAGATTCCCAGCCCTGCTGACACATACCAGCAAACTTATCTCTCACCATTTATGTCTCCAGAAGAACAATTTTTTAAAAATCCCGGCAGATCTCTGCTCCAGCGAAGTAAAAAAAAGAAAAAACGTTTAGCTAAATCAGCCAGAATCCACAATGACTTACTTATAAGTTTGTGATTTGAAGAATAAGTAAGGTTTATTATATTACAGTTTAAATGGATTCTATCACTTTAAGTAGGGTGATTATATTTCATTAGCTACTGATCTGACACTAATGTCACTAAACCTGCCAAGAACATTCAACTCTAAAAGACTACAGAAATATCCCACGATTTATTTCTGCACCTGAATGCCTCCTACATGAACTCTGATACTTTCTACCTGAATTCACGGTTATGTAATGAACATCTCTGGGTGGGTGTAAAGTAAACAGACTTTCCTCACTTGTCATGCGAGAGGTAAAGCAGGATTATTGTCTCGCTATGAACCCCGTGAACAACCCCCCCCCCCCCCCGGGCGACGGATTGGATTTAGCGTGGCGTTCTCTGTGGGGAATGTAAAAAGTGCACGGGAGATCTCACGGTGGAGGATGGACGACGCGCTGGGATGATGAGATGATACACTTCAATCTTCCCCTTCTTTGTGCAGCGTCGCTCAGATTAACACAGCTTCCCAGTGCAAACAATCTGCAGAGGGGGGAGAAAAAAAAAAAAGAAGAAGCTTAATCTCTACTCTCTTGCAAATGTCAGTGCAATGACAAGATTCCTAAGGATACTTCTTTATTTCTAATCCTCCTCTAAACAATCCCATTTGGAGGATGCGTTCCCCCCCCCCCGAAAACGAAGATGGACGAGCTAATGAAGCTGAAAAGTGCTGCCACATTGTCGGGGGCCTGAATGTGATCTGCTGCCTCACACGCCTGCTTTTGTTGTATCATTTAAGCGGTGTTGTGCTTTGTCCCCCCCCCCCTCCTGTCTGTGTAGAACAGTTGACCTTGGCTCACATGCCTCCAGGTGGGATCCCCAGCATACTAATGAGGGTTAGTGCGGAGGAATGCTACGCCATTGCTTTTTCTGTGTGTCAGCTATAGCCTGCCTCTGATCTTCACAACAATCGCCACCTCTGTTTGCTGCAGTTTAGACTGAGGCTTTTGTTTCATTTACTGCACGCGATGGTGGTGCAGACGCCGGTCTAGACGGGGAAAAGCGCTGCTGTGTAAGAACTTCAAATACAGTTCAAGGAAATAAATAGATATTTAAATAAATAATGTGAATGCTGCTGTGGGCCTCTTTACAGTAGATGAAGTCTGTTTTTGATATACAGCAGTGTTGTGTTACAGCTGCATCTTATTTCTTTATTTTAGTCTAACTGGAAAGTGATAATTAGTGAACAGGTCAGCACTTGGAGCTGCTTGCCGCCTAACAGCTGATTTCTGTTGTGTATTTTTTTTGTAATATTCAAAGGCATAATAAAAAAAAAGATCATAAAAGCTAAAGACCCAGCTCTTACTAACTTAATGATGATGGTCTCCATATTATTGATGATGATGATGGTAATGACGATGGTTTTTGTTTGATAAGGACGACTTATAAGATGGTTTCTATACTGATTAGAGCTCTCAAGAACTGCCCTCAATGTTGTGCTTTGCCTCTGGTCACTTCCTGTCAGCACCTGTGTGTCCAATCAGACTCAAAGCTGATCGTTTGCTCTTACTCACATTGTTCCCTTTTTTCTAGATCCTTGCTTGTGTTGTTCTTACTCTCTGATGTACTTCGCTTTGGATAAAAGAGTCTGCTGAGTGAATTGTAGAATTGAATGTGTAGGTGTGACATGCAGTGTAAAAGTGCTTTGAGTAGTCAGAAGACTAGAAAAGTGCTTTACAAGCTCAAGTCCCTTTACCATTTAGCATTTGCCCCGTTACATTAGCTGCATCCTAACTGGGATCTCTATTAATGTGAAGCTCTGTTTGAATCCACAGTACATGAATGAATCTCTCTCTGACTCCTCTTCTCTTGTGTCTGTCAACAGGGTGTCTGCATCATGACGACGGCCTTTCTGCACTTCTTCTTCTTGGCGTCGTTCTGCTGGGTCCTCACGGAGGCCTGGCAGTCTTACATGGCGGTGACGGGAAAGGTTCGGACCCGGCTCATCCGCAAGCGCTTTCTCTGTCTGGGCTGGGGTGAGTGAGCCTGCGATGTTTCCTTAAACCTCTTCATTATCTCCCATCATGCCTGGCGGCTTCCATTTTTCTCTCAAGGTCTCTGGCCAAGGTGTCTTTCCCAGTAACTGTAGGTCTATTTCCACCCCCCTCCCCCCTCCCCTCCCCCTGTCCTCATCCTCTCTGTGGGGGCAGCCAAATCTTCATCCTATCAGGGCTCTTTGTGTTGATGCTTTTGTGCACCAGTCAAGCTCTCAGAGGACCCGGGTAAACGGACTGGCCTTGAGGAAAGAAGGGAGACAGACTGGCGCGGCTCTCTCATAGCAGGCTGCAATGACCTTATGTCTGATAAGGAGGTGGGGGGCATTTATACTGCAGCAGAAGACATTTTATCTAAAGACCCTCAGGTAGAGAGTTCAGGAGAGTGCAGTGTTTTGCAAAGGAAGAATATATTGAATTAGAAAACTCTAGGTGGTTCAGTTCGAGCGTCACATTTTCTGAAATCCTTAAAAGAGTCAACTTCTGAATCACTTCAGCATCATAATCTCGACATGTTGCAACATGCATCCAGTGAAATGTATTTCTCATCTATTAGTCAGGGCTGCAAGATTGTTTGGTTTTCTCCTGCCTCCCACGACCGAGTTCCCTCCACTTTAGTGTCACCTCACTGGAAAAAATCAACACATACAAGCATGACGATTATGCACCATCATCGGATGAAAAAACAGGCGGTCGAATATCTGTATCAAAATGTAAAAGATTTGGATTCTTCTTCATTTGATAAATGTCAGTCTGAATGCTCGTCCTGATCGTTCTTCCTTACCGACTACTAGAAATCTCTCAGAAATCAATTTGATTATGAAAGAGCCCACACTCATTCTTCTTGTTACCTAGCAACAAACAAGGCTCTCTTAGTCATTGCAGTGCCACTGCTTGCTGCAAAAAAAAAAAAGAAAACGGACAAAGGCTGTTCCACAATCACATAGATTTCTAAAATACGCCATAACAGGCAGTTTGAGGGTGAATAAAAACAGCAAGTGTCTCGTTGGATGACAATAAAAAATGCATTACATAATATAAAGGCTTTTTCTTTTTTTTTTACACTTGATGACTAGAAAATGAAATCACCCTAATCCTCTGCAGATTACCACCTGTGTTCAAACAAAAAGCATTTTTCAAAAGTGGTTTCCAGAGCGGTGTGCAGCGCGCAGTAACCTGTTGTCTCTCTCGATGCAGCAACCAGTTTGAAGTGCAGCGTCTCTGGCAGGCGGTGATTCATGACATGCTTGTGTACACTCTGCACTCTTTACCTCCTCGGCGCTGCAGAGAGAGGCACTGGATGGCCACAGGGTCTTTGCCTCCAGGAAACTGATTACATCAATAGCACCTGCCCGCGCTGCTCCGAGAGAGGGGGGAAAAGCGTTAATATTCTGAGCACACTGTAGTGAGAACCAGAATCCTCTATAACGAGGAGCACATACAGTAAAAAAAAAAAAAAAAAAAACCCTGTCATGGAAAAGGTGTGGAGGGTGAAGGGATTTCTTCTCTCTTACTGTACGCTGATGAAATTTCACTACCTGCTTTCTCTGGGCTTGCTCGATGCACTGCTGCCATTTTGTCAAAGCAGAGTACAGTCTGCTCTCCCTTCCCTCACCCGCTTAATGGAACACCGTGCAGTGTGTTGATATTATTGAAATGCATACAGTTGATCATATACTCTCAGATGATTGTGTAGTCTCATGCTGCAGCGTGTAATGGAGTGAATGTAGCTGCACTTTGTGAAATGACTGGATGGCACAAGGGCTGACTTTCCCCCTGCAGTGAAGTGGGCTCAGAACTGCTCAAATAACTATTGATTGTTCTCTCTCTTTTTTAAGGATTACCAGCTTTGGTGGTTGCTGTTTCAATGGGATTCACCAAAACAAAAGGCTATGGGACACCCTTGTAGTAAGTCTTTCTTTCCTTTTTTTGTTTAGTTCAGTATGCTGCACACTGTAGGTTCATGGCAACACTTGACCGTAATGATTAAGAGCGTCTGCAGTGGCTTACTTATCTTAAATAGGGCCATAAACAAAGTCCCCTGAACCCAATCAGATTTCAAAATAGCGCAGCAAGACCCCAATTGGATGTGAGTTGTATCCCTGCTGGATGCCGAGTGCATAAACACTGCTTAAAATCTCTTTAGCATTTTATTATCCTGTGAAACTTTTGGAAGCAGAGTTACAGCATATGGCGCTTCTCCCCTGACGATTCGAGGGGGAAAACACAATTGTGTGCTGGTGTGCGCCATTAACTCGGATGTTAATGCCTTGGTGGGAGTTGACTGTTTTTCTCGCTTTCCCCTGCAGCTGTTGGCTGTCTTTGGAGGGTGGGCTCCTGTACGCCTTCGTTGGACCTGCAGCTGCTGTTGTTCTGGTATGTTTCAGGCGTCAGATGTCCAGCTTTAACTTTAATAGGCTTGGAATACAAGGGGGACGTAGATTCAAATCATCAGACGTTCACTCAGCATGTGTTGATCCCTTCATACCGCATAGCATCTCCACCAATCAGCCGTAACATTGACTGAATATGCAATCTAATGCAACCCAATACAACACGTCTACCATAATCTCTGCTTTTACAAAGCTTCTACAGTTTCAGTTTTTCGCTCACATGGTCAAAAAGACGACAGCTCTACTTCATATTTCATACTGAAGTCGTAGTGGGTGGTGTTGGTGCTCTACTGGAGTGAGGTGTTCCTGATATTTTCTGTATGTTAAGTGAGTGTGCGAAATATTAGCATCACCTTTTAATTTATTTCATTTAATCACACCACCGCTAAAGGAGAATTCATGGTAGAGTCGGGTTTTTTTGGATTGCATTAAATTAGATCACACAAGATTATCTTCAACATACACATCTGTCATTTAGGATTGTTAATGAGTATAATGTGTGTCTTGTGTATATCAGACACAGACAGGAGTAGGGGTTAAGATCATTTATGTTTGCAGGTCTTTGTTGTTATCTTGTGTTCAAGTTCAGGTTTTTTTGTTTTTTACCTGTATGTAAAATAGTTCGCAGAGAGAGTCACTAATCCTTAATAAAACACAGACGATACATAAAAACGTACAAAGTGCAAATGCACGGTACATGGGTTAAAGTGTTGAGGTGCATAAAGTCTGCATGTTGTGTTGTTGGTATCATCATGATGGTATGGTTCTTTGTATTGTTATCGTTTAGATTTGTTTCATGAACACTTAAAACCCTTTAAAATAAATACAAACTGTAGTTACGAAAATATATATTAGTACACAAAGTTGACATTTGCAGCTTGTTTTCAGGTCCCAAGATGCACTTCAATCAATCAATTAATCAATCAATTAATCAATCAATAAATCATTGTTGGTCTAGCGCCGATTCATAACAAGTGTTATCTCAATGTGCTTTACAAAAGAGCAGGTTAAAGACCTCACTCACTGGTTAAAGACCTCACTCACTGGTAAAAGACCTCACTCATTGGTTAAAGACCTCACTCACTGGTTAAAGACCTCACTCATTGGTTAAAGACCTCACTCACTGGTTAAAGACCTCACTCACTGGTTAAAGACCTCACTCACTGGTTAAAGACCTCACTCACTGGTAAAAGACCTCACTCATTGGTTAAAGACCTCACTCACTGGTTAAAGACCTCACTCATTGGTTAAAGACCTCACTCATTGGTTTAAGACCTCACTCATTGGTTAAAGTCCTCACTCATTGGTTAAAGACCTCACTCATTAGTTAAAGACCTCACTCATTGGTTAAAGACCTCACTCACTGGTTAAAGACCTCACTCACTGGTTTAAGACCTCACTCATTGGTTAAAGACCTCACTCACTGGTTAAAGACCTCACTCATTGTTAAGAAAAATGGGATAGGGGGAGATGTGATAAGATGCAGGAAGGATTTCTCGTCTCATTCCTGTTGTCCTCACTCCCTTGCCTTTGAGGTGGAGGTCGCAGCAGGCCGGGCATTAGTGTAGTTTCATCGATGGTACAGTATCATTATGGCACAACTACAGTATGTTAAAAGTCCGCTAAACGTTGCTTTGAAAACGGCTAACGAGAGGAACACACTCACTGCTCTCAGAGTCAAAGTAATGAGCGTCCCATCAGGCGATGTTCTCCAGTAATTCCCTTTCATTTACATTAATGGTTCTCCATGTAGCTCTGAGGTTATAAAGTATTCATTCATTAGATCTGTGCTTAATGTAAAATAGTGCGTTTTTTTTAAATTCATCTTGTATTTACACTGTTGTACAGAGGGAACGACACAGATTATGATTATGCAAATCACTTCGTGTGTGTCAGAGGACCAGAGGACTGCGGGATGAAACATAGTGGGATATTTCATTATCTTAACGTCTGCTCTGTGACGGGTTGGAAAAAGGAAGTTATTAAAGAAACATCTTTAGTTTGAGCTGTGGATTTCATTCACGACCCTGCAAAGTCCAAATGTACACTCTCATAAAACGATACTGTAACATCATATTCAAATGATTCACATTAACAAAGCTTGTTGGCTGAAAACTCCCCCCAAATGCATTCCGATGAATACTTAATGAGCTCTTTATCTCAGCTGAAGGGTTTGGAAATAGATCGCAGCCAAACAGACTTTTTCTTCCCATGATTCTCCGAGTCCCGCTCAGTTTTTTTTTTTTTTGCTGTTAGTGCAGGCGCGGCTAATAATAGGAGAAGGTGCCTTTGAGAAGACAAGTGTTTCTTGTCAAGCCGATTCCTTTTCTTCAGGCCGTTTGCACTGGGCTGAGTATCCAGAGCATGCATGCCTCATGCATTGGCTGAAATGTCAGAGATGAGCAAACAATAGAAGCTAGAGGTCAAAGCTCAGCGCGGACGCGACATCAGGGAGCACAGCCCCGCGGGATGATGACATTAAGTCATCGGCTACCTTCAGTTTGTTCTGGGGAAAGTCAAGCAGGGGATTAAACAACATATGTATCGCTGTTTTCTTTAAATAATCTATATGAAGAAAAGCTTACACTCGTGTCTCTTCTCTTTCAGGTCAACATGGTGATCGGCATTTTGGTGTTTAATAAACTCGTGTCCAGGGATGGCATACTGGACAAGAAGCTGAAGCATCGAGCAGGGTATGACAGCACGTCCTTGTTAGTACCTCCGTTTTCTTCTTCTTTACATTTTTTATTCTACATGCAAACATATACATGTGCTTTGATTTTTTGCGTACACACACATTTCAGACCTCCCTTTTTCCTCACTGTTTCACTGAAAGGGAAATTAGAGGCATAAACATAAAGAGGTCAGATCTCTCTCGGGAGCGACATAGCTGCTTCCTATTTCTTTGGCAGAATCAGTCCAAGATGAAAATCATTAAAAAACACACCCACACATTGGCTGCTTCTGCTGCTGCTAACATGACGGGAGAGGAGAGGAGGGAAGGGTTGGGGGGGGGAGGTTTGAAAGGCGGGATAGTGGCTGTTAGCGTTGTTTGTCATGCTGTTGTCTCTTATGTCCCACAGACAGATGAGTGAGCCGCATACAGGATTAACTCTCAAGTGTGCCAAATGTGGTGTTGTATCAACAACTGCTTTATCAGCAACTACAGCTAGCAATGCAATGTAAGTGCCTGTCAGTGTCTCTGAAGCAATAAGACGATGCTACAGGGAGCATGTACAGTGTGTCCACCCCCTTTAAATATAGACCATCCTGCAGCCCACTGCAGCGTAAACTCATCTTCCTGTTAGACCCACTGTACATGACATCCACACTAGGAACATACAATCAATACTAGCATGCACATAACAGCTCTGCTTTTGTGGATGTGGATTTTAAAGATGGAGATGTTTCCACTATCTACTCGGCCGTGCTCGCTTTTTTTATTTCCTGCACACAATCTCCTTCCCTCCCTCTTTCTCTCAGGGCGTCCCTGTGGAGCTCCTGCGTCGTCCTGCCTCTGCTGGCTTTGACCTGGATGTCTGCGGTGCTCGCCATGACGGACAAGCGCTCCATCCTCTTTCAGATCCTCTTCGCCGTCTTTGACTCTCTGCAGGGTTTTGTCATTGTGATGGTGCACTGTATCCTACGGAGAGAGGTAAGGGGGAGGATTCTTGGCTCCTTTCTTTTTTTTGTTTTATGTTACTGGGAATATTTCCACCGAGATACAAAATCCCTTTAAACAAGCGAGCGCTGGCCAAGTCGTAGAGAAATTGTGAGAACAAGTGAAACATAAAAGAACAATTGACATACTTATGAAACAGAAATAATGGATAAGCAGTGTTCAGGAACAAGACAAGTGCATTCATTTGAGAGATAATCTGTCTGTAATCCTGTTTCTAAAAAACCTTTATGACATCATCTGGTGAGAGTTGAATCTGTAGCAGAGACGAAGAAGAGAGAGCAAAAAACATTCAAAGCACTTTTACCAAACACACTTTGAGAAATTACTTATTTAATGTGTGCAAGGTCATAAAAGGGTTTCATTTTTTGATTCATTTTTTTTTAATTCTGTTCTGACTTTTCAGTTTAGATGGAACAGGTTTTCAATTCTTTGTCAGTTTAGCTCTTAAATGTGAAAATATTTTTTTTGATTGAAAGATTAAGTAGTGACAGAAGAACCTTGATAAGAGCGTAGGTCATGTAACTAAGCCATTATGAGGAAAGGTTTCAAGGTTGTATAAGCGAGACAAATCAACCATCTTTTACAAGCTGCAGTGATTATTCAGAAACCTGAACCAGAGACAAATCCCAACGGAGAACGTTCACTGAATTCAACATTTCTAACAATCCTCTGATGAGATCAAGAACGTGTTTCTGTTTACTGCAAATACAAACTCTCTGTTTAGTGAAACATTGAAGGAGTTGATTTGCTGAGTCACAGTTACATTTCTAGTTGGAAAAAAACTCATGAATGAATGAAAGATTTTTATTTTGGCCATTCATTAAAGAATAACAAGAATCAAAATGTGTGAATATTCAGCTTTCAGATAAGAGCTAAGGCCCCGTGTCCACCTGGAGTTTTTTTTCCTGAGCCTTTGCGGCAGCATTCAGCCACCCGGAGAAAAAGCTCAGCGCCTAGCGTGCTCCGCCTTTATTCGCGCGCCCGCTCCGAGCGCTCAAATCTAAAACCTTTTAACTTTTCAGAAAGGTGCTGTTGACGTCACCGGCGCTCTTCTGTACTCGATCCTCTTTGCTCCATGTCTGCTGGGGTATAAACATTTTCAATACAAAATATAAAGTAAAAAGCAAGGGAGCAGCGTAAATCATATATAAGCTGTTGTCGACAGACTGTTGCCATAGAGACAGGACAGACGTGCATTTCTTTTCTGCCAGTGCACAAAAGCTCCTAAGTGCACAGCCAGCGCTTTTCTGCCCTGTAAAAACTCTAGATGGACACGGGGGCTAACACAACTTTACATGTTGACACTGGTCCATTTCACAAGATAAACTCCACAAAATCAAAGATCCAAAAAGGGAAGAGGCTGAAACCCAAAGTTTATTTCTGCCTGTCATATACAATCCTTAATATAACCCAGATCATCAGTAATACATAAAAGAAAATAACAAAAGCAGATTTTATTGATTAGTTTACATTTCAAGGTTCTTCACAATTTCAGCTCATCACTACGGCTGCTCCATCATCCTCTCACCCCAGTGGACATGATGTAACACGGTCTCTCCTTTTCTTTAGGTCCAAGATGCTTTCAGATGTCGTCTCAGAAACTGCCAGGACCCAATCAGCGGCGATGCAACAGGAACCTTCCCCAACGGGCATGCTCAGATAATGGTAGGCCCCGGCCCGCCCTGCAATCTGTAACCATTAGCTCCTCTATAATTTATGCAAACCCAACGTTCCCCTGGTTATTTACAATACACATTCAAAACCCTCCTTCCTCCCCATTGACCCCCATTTAACTTGTGCTCTTCATGCTCGTTTTTTTTTCTTCTGCTTTTTATTATTCAAATAAATACGGCCTCTAAAACATGAGGCATTGTTTCCCATTGGTTCATAATTTTCCAGGTCACACTTTTTGCAGAGCAGCAATTACATGCGAGGAGGACACTTGGCCCTCTGATAAATGGCATTAGTTCCCTTTGGTTTTCTTAGGCCCCGAGCCCAATCCTTTATTTCTGTTTGATTGAACTTGCTGTCCATGTTTTGCCATGCATCCCCTCTCATTTCCTCTCGCGGGGTGATAGCGGACTGTTCCCTGTCCTGACCTTTGAAATGGGACACCAGTCTCTTCATCTAGGACGACCCCGCCACTGGCACATCATCGCAATGATACGCCATTAGTATTCTAATTCCCCCCTCAGAGTGAAACAGTTTCCACAATAGCACAATGGTGCAAACGCCCCCCCTGGTTCAATACAGTCATTAGCAGCCAGCACAAAATACTTCTCCATATGCTGCAGCTGCATTTTCCTTCCAGAGATGTTTTATTGATATATTGTTAGGATAAAACAGAGAAGACAAAAAACGCCTGCTTTGCATTTCATTAGGAATGAAAAAGAATAGATTATCGATTCAAATCTTGCCTCATGTTTCTGGAATTTGCACTCATACAGTATTCATCACAAGAAGTCTTAATCCGACTGTTTGATCTTCTTTTTCTTCTTCTTACAGACGGACTTTGAGAAAGATGTGGACATCGCCTGCCGATCAGGTAAAGAACAGATGGTGGATTAACAAGCTTCTCCTCTCCTTCCATGTTTAAAAAAAAAAAAAAAAAAACCCAAAAAGAGGTTAGACAGTAAAAAATAGCCGAGGTTACGTAACAACTCCGCAATCCCACAGGAGCTTTTTCACAGTTACCAAAAAAAAACACAGACTTTCATCTGAGGACAAAACAGTATAAAGAGAGCTTCTGGATATTCTGTTTTATTTGCTGCGATAAAATGTGAATAACAGGTAGAATTTCCTCATCTTCTCATCATGATGGTGCAGTCACACCTTATGATTGGATTTTTTCATGAACATTTCGATGATAGAATAGCTGCGTAGGTGCTATCTACCTCATTTTGGGAGGATTTTTCTTCCTCGGCTCATGCTAAAAGGGAATGTAATATTTCTCCCTGATTTTCTGACTCTGCGGTCTGAGCTCTGGTTAATCGTTGTCAGATAAGTGCAAGAATTAATAAACCCAATCTGAATAAAATGTTTCTGAAACATGTTCAACAACCAGAAAAAGAACCAAACCGCCCCGTCTTTCTCCAAATCTGTACAAACCAACGAAGACCGCAATCCTTAAATGGATCTGCAGGGAATACCCCAAGCTGGCCATTTATTCAGAGCTCTCAGAAACACAGCTTGTTAAGAGAAGAGAGGAAAAGTGTGTCTGACCCGAGCTGCTTGATGCTGTGCAGTCGTGTAAAAGCTAGAGTGGACGTCCTCAGAAACAAAAAAGGCCATGCAGAGCAGACAGGTGTCATTCATAAATGATGACCGGGACCCAGACAGACTTTAGAGCTGCACTGAGACCGACATGCACTTAGACGGATGAATCTCCGAGCTCACAGACTCTTCAGTTGGTTGTTTACAAACGGGGATTACAGTCTGACGCAGATGAAAATATTCTGCAGAGTCACCCCGACACCAGAACATCAGTGGAAACTTTGAGGAATCACTCAGCATGGATACGAGGAGTGTTTCTCCCCCAGTCCACGCTGAGCATTAAGAGACTCAAAGAAAAAAAAGGGAGAGTATTATAGTTTAGTTGTTGTGCTTGTTTGTAATCTCCCTGCAGGCCTTTTTGAGAACAGACAACATAATACCTACTGATTCGAGAGAGAAGGATTCACATGCTCAGCAGGGAGGACAGGCTGTTCTTGTAACCAGAAGGTGTTTCGAAATAGAAAGCTGCTGTTTTTTTAGAACATTTGGTGCATCACAAGGTCATCACCAATCACCGACTTAGTATTGGGATTCTGTATGTATGCAGAGAGGACCACAGGGAGCAAATGAAACCTTATTTACAGTTAAATCCTCCAGAGGCACCTGTTCCTACTGATGTGCAGTGTCACCCTCAAACACTGATCACAGCTCCCATCGTTACTGATTTCCCTCAAAGTCCTCTGAGAATTGCTTCCTATTGATTTGAGTTCCCTTTCTTTTCCTGGTCACACGTTTGATAATCTTGTGACACTTCTGTCATTACTGAGAAATTCCCAACTAATCCCTGTTTGTCAATCTGCCCCGTTAGCGCTCCACAAAGACATGGGCTCTTGTCGCGCCGCCACCATCACCGGCACCCTCTCCCGCATCTCGCTCAACGACGAGGAGGACGAGAAGGTCCCCGAGGGCCTCAACTACTCCACGTTGCCGGGCAACATCATCTCCAAAGTGATCATCCAGCAGCCGTCGGCGCTGCACATGTCGATGGGCGTCGGGGATCTGAAGGAGCAGTGCATGGCCGACGGCGGCACCGACCTGCGCCGCGCCGTCTACCTGTGCACCGACGACGCCATGCGCCAGAGCGACCACGACATGGGCGGCCACCACGACATGGAGGGCCACCCGGCGCAGGGCCAGATGATGGAGACGGACTACATAGTCATGCCTCGTGCCTCCGCCGCGGCGTTGTCGGGGCAGTGTAACATGCCCACCTTGCTCAAAGAGGACACCAAGATGAACATCACTATGGACACGCTGTCGCACGAGAGGCTGATGCATTACAAGATGAGCCCCGACTTCAACATCAGCCCGTCGGGCTTGGACCACATGAATGTGAACCTGGAGCAGCAGTATCCTAGCGCTCCGGAGCAGATGCAAAACCTGCCCTTTGAACCGCGCACCGCAGTTAAGAACTTCCTCGCCGAGATGGAGGAGAGTGCGGGGCTCTCTCGGAGCGAGACGGGATCTACAATATCCATGAGCTCCTTAGAGGTACATTTCTTTATAATGTGGATTAAGTTTAGAGAGAACAGAGCTGCAAAAAAAACATCAGATATAGGATAGGATAAGACTTTATTGATCACCAGAGGGGAAATTCGGGCATTGCAGCAGCAAGACAGAGAAGGAAGTAATACAAAATAAACAGGATAGATAAGATGAATACAGATAGAAACAACAATACGATGTATATACAAAAGAATATAAATAGCTAAACAATACAAGACAATTAAGAATTCTGTGTAGTGGATGGCAGGTTAAAGTGACCAGTGATGATATAAAGTGACTCAAACAGCAGTAAAAGAGTAATGATGATTATACTATATCAGATCTACTATATATATTCTATATCTGATCAGATTTATCAGGCACGTACATAAATGCATGTATCTTTCTCATCTAACGACTTCATGCCTTCATTTTTCACTTCCACAGAGACGAAAGTCGCGATATTCTGATCTGGACTTCGAGGTACGTACAAAAAAGGTTTCTCTTTACAGCACATGCATCTATCTTTTTTTTATTTTATGCAGAGACAAGCCATTGTTTTTTTGCAGTTGTGTTTGTCATTTGATTTACTAGTACTTGTTGGTGCCTCTTAAGCTTATTGGAGTTACACAGCCTTGACTCAACATGATTTATTGACCTGCTGTGTAGTTAAGGTAAAAAAGCAAGGCTGTCAACTGACAAACAGGGCAACAGTCCTCATCCACATTTTGTCCTCCCACACATCCCCTACATCCATTAGCTATACCTTGATTTCTTATAATGTATGCTTCTGAAGTCATTTGCACATTTCACGTCTGATTTGACCACCGGTTTCAACAATGATCACATTGGCTTGCAGACACTTTTTGAAATCCCCCCTTTTGGCAGGTTTTTTCAGCATTTCCTTTGCATTGTTAAATCAGGCTGTGTGCTGCATATATATTGGACACACTTGCAGAGTAAAGGAAACGCGAGGATTTCTGGCAGCTCTTCTGGCGCGGGGATGCACTTTGTTTTTTAGCGAAGATGCACACCAACCCCTACAAATGGAAGATTTGTGCCAAGGTTTGATTGTGAGAGTTTTCCCTTACGCCAACAAAAAAAACTCTAAAAAGAGGCGATTTGTCACCGAAGAGTTATATTGAATTTAGACACACCAAATGAAAACCGTAGTCGTAGCACACTAACTTTAATTATCTCGGTGTTTCCTTTATTCCAGCAGTCACTTGTATATATATATATATATATATATATATATATATGCAGACACAAGTAGTTCTGTTTCCAACCTGGCCTATACGTAAACTGCAATGACACTAAAGAATTGATCAGAGTTGGAGGGGGTGGAGAAGAAGATGCATTTTTCCATTATTGGCTGTCAATACCAAAGCAAAAAACCCTTGCCATTGCAGAAAGTCATGCACACCAGGAAAAGACACATGGAGCTGTTCCAGGAACTGAATCAGAAATTTCAAACCCTGGACCGATTTCGAGACATACCAAATATGGGCAGCATGGTGAGTAAGAGGAAACAAGGGGGGGTGGCGGTTAGGCAATTGAAGAGAGCTAACTTCTTTTAGATATCCGGTGCAGGACACGTTATGTGTGATTGTGCAAATGAGCGGTAATGCAGATAAAAGTGTTCATGTGGAAGGGGAACTTACTATACATAGTGATCCTGCCAGCAGCTGGTGCCCCTGAAAAAGCATTTTCTCCACAAGGCCAGTCTCAGGGACCAAAGACTTTTTCTAACCTTTTATTGTTTTTGCAGTAGAGTGCAGCCATTCCAATGCAAGGCCATGAATGCACTTTTATTTACATGCACATTTATCGACTTTAGCAACCCCCATCATTTTTTTCCATTAATGCATGGCAGATGATTTAATCTATCCACAAATATTACCTTAAGTTTGTTATTCTCTTACTGTGTGGGTGAGGGGGCGGGGCTTTTTTTTGTTTGTTTTTTCTTCCTTTTGTAACCTTGGATCTAGAAGTCAAGTGAATTATGGGGGAAATCCTTTTTGACCTCAAAAAGCCCCACCGTCCGTCTGTCTCCAAACACCTGACTGGAGCTGCAGCACACACTGGGCATGTCGAGCTCTCACAGACAAGCAGTAGATGTTTCCAGTACTGAATGAAACAAATAGAAAGTGGGCCGGTGACCAAACACAGCCAGACTTTTTGAGACAATGTCAGGCCACGCAGCAGGTCTTTTTGGCTGCATGTAATCCTCTTTCACTCACATTTCAATCACCCCTCCAGCACAATGTAATCTGAAGCCCCGTTGCTTAGTTACCAGTTCAAGTTCCTTTGTATGGAAAGAGATAACTAAAGTACACTCTCACTCCTCCTCCCCCTTTTTTTTTTTCCACGACTGAATCTTCTGTAGAGCTGGCTGCAGACATTAGTATCCATTTTAAATTCCCTGAATGAGAGCAGCTTCTCACCCCTTATTTTTCTGTCTGTGGGGCTGTCAATGAGATCCCATTCAGATGAATGGCTCACACATGACGCCCTTATAGAGCACCAGTTTGTGAGCTCGGGGGGGGGGACATAATTCTGCTCTGACTCCATGATAATAGTGTGAGCATGGTCACATTTAATACACAACCATTATGTTTTTGTTATTTGATGCTTTCCACAGCATTAATCCATTACTTTCAATTAGCAACGGGTAGGAATTCATACGAATGCCCTGATGAATGAAGTGACTTTGTCAAGAAATTTACAGTTTAGCTACAGAGGATGTCATGCCACTAATATCACACCCCACTGGCCGTGTTCACAGGACAAGGCAATGCCAAACAAGAACCCATGGGAGAGCTACAATCCAGCCTGTGAGTACCAGAATTACGCCACTATGAATGTACTAGAATCTGGCACCAAGGACTCGCTGGAGATGACGCCCGCAGAGTGGGAAAAGTGTGTCAACCTACCCTTAGACGTCCAGGAGGGAGACTTCCAAACGGAGGTCTAGAGGGGGCGGAGAAAAGGAAGGAGAAAAATGCAAAGGAGGAGAAGCAGGAGAAGCAGGAGAAGCAGGAGAAAGGGATGTATTTTGCACTGAATAAAGCAACAGACTTTTCTAACAGCCTTGGCATACATATCTGGATCATACGAGTGTGGCAGGGACATTATGTGCCAATACAATTTAAGGACTGACGAGAGAGGAAAAAAGACGATAAAAAGGGAAAAAAAAAACATCAGTGTTACTTTTTGTATTCTCACTAGTGTACTTAGTGTGGGGCAGCCTGGTGTACAATATTTACCATCATGTGTTTCAAATTTATCCGTTGAGGAATTGGCTGAGGAAAAAAAAGGTAATCTCTCTAGATGAAAAACCTCACAAAGCAAAACGACATGCCATGTGGTCCCAGCTTCATTGGGTCCAGTTTTGATTTCCTAAAAACTGGACCCGGGAGCACAATGTATATATTTATGCAGGTTTTTAAAAAGTTTATAACAGTCTGTTTGGCCATTACTACACTTTTTACTTTATGATATAAAACATGGGAGGCAAAGAGGATTTTTTCTGTCATATTAAAAATGAATGTTTGTCAAGCTACATTCTTCATTGCTTTAAATGCAATAAAGATAATACTCACTTTTATATAAATAATATATTTCACAACTTTAATACTGCAGACTCTGCTTGAAGGATCCCAGCAAGCTCTCTCATCTGCAGCTCTGTATAAAATATTTAAAAACAAAAATGTTGTATGGTGTAAATAAACTTTTGTCTACATATGTTTTACTTGTGCCAATTTATTTTAATGAGAACAAAATGCCAACCTGATCAAAAGTTATAGCGAAAAATGTTAACATTTGAAAAGGAATGTAAATAAAAGAGGAAATATGTTCGTACTGCTTCAGAGGTTGTGTCAAGTTTATGTGCTTTGTTGCTTGTGGAATTCATTACTGTCGATGCTTTGTTAAGGGACCATGTGAAAGCTGTAAAATCTATTAATAGCCTCATGACTGCATGTGATGATTCAGCTTCTCCTGCCTGGGGAGTGAAGCTGAAATCAAGGAGAAATTGATTTGATTTATTTAATTATCCATCATTGTCTCGGTTACATTTAGTACAGTTTGGGGTTTTATTTCTCTGTCTCCTCTGACGATTTGTCGCTCTCTTCTACTCAGAGGCGCTGCTCGTCAACAGGCGAGGCAGGCAACTGTTTCGGGACCCCAGATCAGTAGGGGGGCCCACTGAGGGCTCACAAACTTAAAGCAGTGGCTTAAAATGTGCAAATTTTGAAAATCACTCTAGGAAAGCTCCCTAAGGGGGCCCTATCTGACAGCACTCACTTTCATCGCCCTGCTAAGCGTTGCCTGCATATTTGGTGCGAAAAACCAAAGTTTGTCAATGAAAGACACCAAAGAAACAGGAAAAGGAATTAGCCGTGAATAGGAGAGGAAAAGGAATCAGGAAAGAAGTGGAAGAGGAGTAAGCATCGGGACACTGGCAGACATGAAGGTGATGAACGCTGGTCGGGGCCCCCAAATGATTTTTGCCCCAACAGACGCTAGAATCGGCACTGCATCTACTCTCTGATTCAAACCTATTTAACCGTACTTGAAGGTTAGAACATCACGATTTCCTGACTCACCTCATACAGCCCCGTATCTGATAGCTGAATTTTTATAGGAAAACTTTCAAACTCCTAATAGGTTTCTGTGCCCGCAGAAGGCTCACCTGATAAGATCTTTCCCGGTGCAGACAGGGCCAGGCGGAGAGCACAAATGGAAGGCAGGAGGGTTGTGGGGGCTTAGTGAGAAAAATCTGGTTTGTCCCGTCTGGTGGTCTGCGGTACGGCTGACACTTCGGCGATGAGAGCATCCGTGTGAGTGCCACCCCTCTTGGGAGCAGCAGAAGAAGAAGAAGAGGAGGAGGATCTGCAGCGTCGGTGAAGAATGACGACGAGAAAAAAGAAAGGGAAGCAGATGATAAAAACAGGCGTCCATTAATGAGAGCGCTCAGCTGTGTTCTGATGACGCAGCAACATAAATTCAGTTGATTACATGTCGAGCTCGGTCTAGACACTAATGTCTGAAGTTACAGTGCATTTCCATCCATGCATAATTAGGTTAATGACATACAGAGCGGCTGCCTGTTCGAGGCTTACAGAGAGATTTGGTTTTTTCTTTTTTATGTGCTGTCATCCGTTCCAGTGAAATGTCTTCAGAACCAGCCATGACAGCGCTGCCTTCAGTTTAACTCTTGACAGCTCGTCTGAGATTAGAGGAAAAGATGTTCATGTACAGCAAATATTTATCTCCAAAGGAAGTTATAGATATTTACTAAACTTTATATCAATATACAAACAGTCCAACATACCAGTTTATAATACGATGTAAGGAAAACACTAAACATCTGAACAGAAAGTACAAGTGACAGAAAAGTTCAGAGAAAACTGAAATCAGGGACATTGATTTCTTATTGGTTACATGATTAAGAGACATAAGGCTCTGGACCTAACATACCAACGAACGCTTAAACGAAGGACAATACAACATTCAAGACCAGAGTAATCCGGCGCACATCAGTGATGTTCCAATGGACTTAATGTTTTATACATATATAAATAAAATGTTCATGTTCAGTCCAATATTTTATATGCATTAAACTTTAAGGTTGTATTGTTCCTGCTCGAGCTCACCCTGAACAGTAGCAGCTGTGCATCCATTGATTATTGAATCAGGGTAATTAATGAGGAACTCAGATTTTACAAATAAAATAAAGAGGGTTGACAATAGTGCACAGCTTTTGTATCTACATGTAAAAAATACATGAACACATATTTACATATATTTATCACATTTGTTGTTTCACATGAAACATAACTTTCAAGGCTCTTCCAGTTAGTGACACGAAGGGGGCAACTACAGAATAAGTGGCACTATGGTTATCAGGTTCAAGTGCACAATATGTACACTGTTCTTGAACATAACACATCTTGAGATGTTCACTCTCCTTGGACTGATATGTTCTATTTTCAGATGTCATTCTCTGATTTTGATTGTGATAAAAAATGTAGTTATATATATATTTATTTTTAAAGGTTTATTTTTGTCTAATGATGATGAAAATTCAATGAGAAACATTGATAATGAAGATGAAAATTAAGAACATAGACTCCATGAAATGAAGTCTAATGAAACACTCTGGAAGAAACGACCACAACCTGAAAGAGTTTTTGTGTTACTTTCTGATTTTAGAAACTATGGAGTGTTTTAAAATAATTCACATTTCATTTGAAAGGCTGCACAGTGCTGTAGTGGTCAGCTCAATAATAAAAAATCTTCACTGACTCAGCAGTTAGTTATACTAGGATGCCAGTATTAAACTGAACAACATTACAGATACTGACCGATCAGTGCACGCTCCATTATTTCACCATCAGTCAATGTGTGTCGACAGGATCGATATCACCGATAACAACTCATAAATCAGTTTCATCCAAAGTCACAACTCTGTTTTCTATTTTTAAAAAACAAGGTTACGTCAGGAAAACACACAGCATACACTAAAGAGTGCCAGTGACATTCATACAGTTACAAGTCATGCCACATTTTAACTGTAACCCTTGTTCAATGAAAGCATGCATGACAGACTCTTTCTTCCCCAGCATGAGAATCATCTGGATGAAGATGAGAACAGACAATGTTTATCGCCTGCAGGGATGGTTTTTTATGATCTAATACTATTCGGATATGGAGATCTAAATGTGTATGATATCAAGGCTCCTAATCAGCTCTGCTGGCTGAATCACGTCACGGTCAGATGAGTGGACCAGAGTGACTCACCAGCTGAGCATGCAAACTATGACATGCAAGTGAAGTGTCTGAGAGGGCTTCTTTTTTAAGATGCTGCTCCTTTAAACCACTATTTGTGACAATTTATTTGTTTTTCTCGTCATCAAAGAAGCTTTCAAAGTGCTTACTTTACTCACTGCTCACAGCCTGGGTCATGGTCTTTCCTTTTAGCACTGAGATAGTTTTCTGTGTATTTTTCACAGCCTGCAAATAAGTCTCTGAAATGTTGCTTCTGTCATCATGTGCAAAAGCTTTCTGCAAGTATCTAAAGTGAAAAGTTAGACTTCAGAAAAGAAAAGTAAAAGTCAATCTTAAATTCTTGCAGGAGGTTTGATAATTATCAATAAAAATGTGACACAATTGACTCGCATTGAATCTCATTTTTACGAGACTCCTGCATTTAGATTTTTCTACACAAATTCCAGACAGCTCGGGATGTGTCTTCTCCAAGTTTACTAAAATGTCCTGAGTGTCCAAAAAAAAAAAAAAGGACTCTGCATTGTTTGGTTGCTGCTAAATTGAGCAGGGACATTGTTGACAAGCCTGCAGGACAAGTCTTCATTTGGGATTGAGTGGCAGGTCCCTCAGGTCTCGTGAGAGCAGAGGGGTTAACCTGCTTAGGGGGCTGCAAACTGTGAATCAACATAATCACATTGATCCTGAGTCACTCTCCCTCCCTGGAGGTATGACTGACGGGTAAGGCAAACTGTTCGTCCTTTTAAGGGCCCGTCACAAGAGTTAAAGCCCAGAGGACGGGCCTTAGGGCACTTAGAAATCACAGGAATCACCCCAGTGGACGTTTCAGAGGACAAAATGAAAGAGAAAAGTGAAGTCTGGTAAAGAACAACAGCTGTGTTTGTAGGACAACCTCACACACACGTTTGTAGTTACCTTCACCTTTTCACTTTTCTCCCAAGCATCAACCTCACAACAGATTTTCATTTTCAATAGATTCATTTGTGTAGACCACACAATTGGCCATGCTTACAAAATGCAGATCACAAGTTAATCATGGGATTATGTTTCGGGATAACAAAGCTGATTCACTTCAGATAATGGCTTAATTTATCTCGTCATCTCAAGAAATCAGACTATTGTTTTCTTCAGATAAGAGATATCCAGAAAAAACATCAGATTGCTGCAAGGTAAGTCAAGACGCTGTTTTGTGCTCAAGTCATTATTTTTTCAGAGAAGTTTATTTTTAACGAGGTATTACTGTAACCGAGGTTTCTGGGTTCACCTGACTGAATGTACTTAACACTGACAGTGAGAAAATAATAAACAGTACACAGAGGGAAAACTTCTCCAGCTACTGCTTCATCCTTATTCTACATACACAATGTGCACAGTTTGAATTTATTTATTTAATAGGGACAATGCAATTTTAAATAGTTTCAATACACGGTAACTTTAGGAACACATTTAACTGGTGTAAATATGTTTGATTTTTAACTTCTTGTTATTTTTAATAATTATTTTCCTGTTTCCTGTTTTCTTGAGCTGTTGTAATGAAGAAATGTCCCCCATGGGGGATCAATAAAGTTTATCTTTATCTTTATTACTCCAAAAAGCAAACTTTACAGTCTGTTTCAAAACTATAAAAAGGTATAAAATGTATGATTGACAGCTCTGATGACAGATGTGGATCCTGCGGTGCTGTGTGTACTGGATCAGTAAAGTATAGGAGAAAGATCAAGAAGAAGAGGAAGCGTAATGGACACTGAAACATGAGTCATTGAACTTCGATAAACGTGAGTGTCTGGTCAAACCGACACAGGAATCAGTTTTGTTGTGAGCCTGAGGGATCTCTGGTGTGTCAGTGGTTGGTTATTTGTGTGTTTTTGTTAGCTGGAGTGGCATGACATCAATACAGCAGTCAGCACTTGTCCATCCCTATATACAGTCAGTGGATTACAAATTACAGATCAACTCCATAGTTGTAGGAGCTGCTGTAAAGGTCAGTGTGGTTAACAGACGTAATTTGAAAGGTTAGCAAAGGGTATCATCCAAACGGCAGATAGTATGCTAACACGTGTCAGAAAATAAAGCCAGGTTTAAGTCGATAACCTGACTTGTACTTCTGAACACAGCTTCACTGGAAATAAAGGGAAAAAAAAGTTCTGAAATCCTGAACAAAAATGAAACTTTGGAAGACTCCACAGTAGGTACTTACCATGCACTGTATAATGCATTATGGTCTTTGATCCTGTGGAGCGGTAAGATAGATGATGGGAACAGAGGCCCCTGACGGTTGGCTGTACTGTTCAGCAATTCCTCTCGGTATCTCCACACGATGATCTCAGACTTATTTTAACACAGGGCCTGCCTCAGGGGGAAGAAAAGCATGCTGTCACACAACCAAACTGTGGACGGTGTGTTGGGTTTCTTTTTGTTTTTCAGTAGCTCCAGCTGTGACAAAAGGAATTTAAGAAATAACTGGGAAACGCTAATGATTTCTAATGTGATCAATCGAGATCGGACTGGAATGTAATAATGTACCCTTCTTTAAAGTCTGAAATTGATCTGAGACTGAACCCCCCACTGTTTTCTTGGTGGCTAAGAGGTTTCTTTTTCAAGCTAAGATTCAACTGGAAGATCTAAAAGTGTGAGTCCTAGAGCAATTAGGTAGGCAGGTTGAAAGTATTCACTGCAAGACCCAGCAAATTGGGTACATGCTAATACATGCAGGAGTGTTTCCAGAGGGGGTGGGCCAGGGTGAAATCTTACTGGCCACCACAGGCACCACCCAAAGTTTTCTTTTTTTTTAACTGGGATTGATCTTTTGTTCTGCCAGAGGTGGGACTAATGCTGTGTTGCAACAGGCAGCTAGAATGCTGCATTCAGGTGCTGCTCGGGTGGTCCCGGTTTACGAGTTGGGAAGTCGTTCAACAGCGGAAAAAAACAGCGTTGATGCTACAAAGAAGATCTATGGAATGTAACTGTTACAAGTTATAGTTCAGCAAAAGGTTGATGTGCAATACGTGAATGAATAAAAAGTATGTTAACATTAACAAATCATATTTTGACCCCCCCCCCCATGTGATGACGATTTCTGACGTCAAGTTGGCAAGTCGAGCCCCTAATTCTTTTCTGAGTTTTCCCAGTTCTGTTGTTCTACTTGAGCAGGTGTTCATGTGAATTTTACAACTCGGAAACTTTATTCACTTAATTCATGTGTGTGCACACAAACTTCAGGCCACCCCTGCACAAGTCAGTACCCCCATTGGGCCACCTCAGTCTGGACACGCCCGTGAACAAGGGCAACCCAATTAATATCAGATAAGCATCTTGTAAATAAAACTGAAAATTAGGCACTGAATTTGCTCACCAATAAAACAATGAACGTGTGTACTCATTTTGTAAAAAGTCAAATTCAAGTTGTGTACCGCCCTTAGGCTCACTCCTGCAAAATGACTGTCATTTTCCTGAAGCAATTTGTTCACTTATTCATTAAAACGTGTTCATTGTTCCCAGACAAAGTTGCAAGAGAAGCCTTAAAAGCGACGCACGGAGGAACGGGGAAACATGAGACGAGAGTGGCATTTGAATAAGGGGCTTGACAAGAAATGTTGTACTGGGAACGGCAAAAACTCCTCTGATCTGACATGTTGATCACACAATCCTCTCTGCTAGAGTTCCAGGGCTGCATGTTTTTGGCTCAAGGCTTTTGTGGTTTATTAGGGGGGGATGTGGGGGTGGCGTATCACATAATGGCTTAACTCAAAGCAGACTTGTACAATAGTTATGACAAGGTATGCATGCCACAAACTCTAATTGGACACGCACTCGAAAATTTCATGCAAATCCATCCCAAGCAGAGCGCTGAGTAGTTATGTTAATCCAGAGGCGGCTGTATTTAACTGTCGGTTTCACTTGATACATGTCCTTTTCACTCTCAAACTATTTAAAGTGTCAAACGCGGAGCTTTGAACAGCAGGATACTTTCTCGCTCACAGTATTACTGATTGTGGTTATGTGCTTAGCAGCTCCTTAATAGATTTAATGGAATCTAACCACAGTGTGGTCTTAATGCTGTCACAGCGCTCATAACACTCAGGGATTAATGAAGACAAATAAAGCTGTTTTAATTGTTTTATTTCCATTGTGCACTTTTATGTGAGGGAGTGAGATTTAATAAGAGAGGAGTTATTAAAAAAGCCAATAAAGCCAATACGTTTTCTAGACAGCAGTGTGAGAAATATTCAAATGGGAGTTTTAGACAGTAGAGACGGACTGCTAATGAAAACTGGTAATATGATGTCTGCAGAGAAGATGATCCATATTATTGTGCTCCAAGGAAATGTACTGGTTCTATAGAAAAAGTCAGTCTGAAAAACAAAGGGTAGAATAAGAATTTAATAATGCACAAATAAAGCAATCTTATAGCGCCAATTCATAACAGATGTCGTCTCAGGACAGAACCGAAGTCTTTGTTATATTATTTATAAAGACCCAGCATTAATCCACCATGAGCACAGCACTAAGCAACAATAGTGGTGAGGAAAAACGTCCTATTAGCTGGAAGAAACCTCGAGCAGAAGCAGACTAATGATGAACAGTCGTCTGCTGGAACTGTGTTGGGTTTAAGAGCGGATAGAGGGAGATGCAGAAGAAGAGAAAACAACGATGATAATACAAATACACGAGCATCCTTCATATAAACCACCAACAGGGTACAGGGCGTTTCACCTGTAGCTTCCTCAGGTATGACCACGTGTGGGAGAACCTGAGGAAGCTACCAGCGAAACTCAATAAAGTGACAGTAGAGTAAGTTTCATTGTGCCAAGGTGTATTTATTTTTTCATACTAGCATCCTTACCCCCCTCAGATACAGCCTTAATGCAGTGTAGGGGACTAGCAAGCATTAAAGTGAATGCACCGATCAAATTAAATACAAGTCAAAGGTACAAAAATGTCATCAACCAGTGGTTTCCCACCATTGAAATGTATATTTTAAATCACACTAGTTGTTTTAGAGGGTTACTGAGTATCAGCAAATACACAAATCCAGGTTTAGTAGACGTTTTTTGGGGGGGGAAGAAGAGAATAGTGTAAGAACATCTCTACTTACAAAACAGCTGGAGCAGTAATTAATTTAAGTATCAAAACGTTCCCAGACATTTAAGAAAAAACGTGGCAGTTCTGGGTCTGTGGCCAAAGTGTAATTGTATTTTATTTTTATAGGGTAAGCTCCTTGAGATGTACCATCTCCTTTTCAAGTTGGTCCAAACAGAAGACAATTAACAACATCACAAATGATGAAAATTGACAACAGTTTAAAAGAGAAAAATGCCAATATATTATTGTTTATTATTGTAACAGAATTATTGTTTCATGAAGTAAAATCTGAAATATTGGGGGGGGACAGATGTGCAGAAACTGGAATGTCTGTTTAAGTTTGATGTGTTTAATTCTGTTTCAAAAGCTTGGAAAAGAAGACAGGATATTCTGTTTAATTAGTTTGACTTCTCGCTTTCTCTTTTTGTTTCTTGACAATGAATATAGCTTACCTAGTGCACTCTGATCCGGGAACATTTTTAATCTATGGTGTCATGTAAGCCCATGCAGGCTGGGCATATGGATGTATGTATGACACAATAATGAAATAAAAAACTAAAACAAAAAAAACTATTATTGTAAAAATTCAATCAGGAGACATTACGAGTGATTTCTTGCATTAACAGTCATTTACATGAACAAGTTTAAAAATGGATGAAATATGATATACCTTTTGTGATACTCCATCGTGATGTCTTCATCCACTGTGAGCAGTAGTGAGGCGGACAGCGAGGTAGGATACCCCTACAGAGTCTAGACACTGGTGGGTGATGGAAGGATGCAGGATGAGCTGAGGGGTGAACTTCAGAAGAGTTGAACCTGGACACTGATGAGATGGAATGAAGGTGACCGGGGGGGGGGGGGGGGGGGAGGGGTGGAGGAAGGTCGCAGCGATCGATCTGAAACAAGAAATTGACTACACAGGAAGGAGGCAGAGAGAGCAGGTTTTAAAATCTGACAGCAGCAGGATGATTGGTCAATAGAGGTTGTGTCTAATTCTGAAGTTAGAAGAGTAAACGCTGTCTTATCTTAAAAAATCCTGGATCAACAGTCTGTGGACTTTGAGCTGACTCAAATAAGTTTGTTTACAACTTCTTGTTGGGGTCAAATGCTCCCCACTTTTTCTTCTTCTTTCTTTTCTAACTTTGTGCAGGTCCTGGTATGTCTGAACTTATTCAAACATAACAGTTAAGTTCACTGGGTTACAATCTACTAAAGCAACAATAACTCAAATACATGTGTTTTGTTGCATTAAAGAGTATTTTGGTGTAATGTTTTCACTAACTCCCGTGGGCCCTCCTCATGTGACAGGGTCCCAGAAAGATTTCCCCTTTATCAGCTCCGCCTCTTGATGATGGACCCAAGCATAACTTTTTTGATGCCCTGAGAAGGAGGTACAGTCTCTCACCTCCTGACATCTTTAACACCGAATCAATAACATGTAATAGCTGATCATTCAATCAGTATATTCATTTATCCAAAGACTTACTGAGTTTGGTTTAAACATTTCAAAGACATCATCTTCTACTGTAAAAACATTCTTTAAGGGAGTTTTCTCGACTATGAACAACCTACAGAAATATGAGCATGCTGAACTATTAACCATTTATAGTAACTGAATGCACAACTTGCACTTCAAACTGGGTTTGATGGGAGAAACAAATGTTGGAACTGGAAAGAAAAAAAAAAGCTTTTCTGGAGGGTGTTTAAAATGTTTTTTATTTCTTTGAATACAGGTATCATTAAATATAGACACAGCAGCCATAATACAAGTCTTTTCAACCAATCACAGTCCTGATGAAGGTCAACAGATTTAACACCTCGAAGCATAAAGTCACAAGATAGAGGTTAACGTTTGTGGAGGTTTCTTATACAGCAGTGTGCGCCCGTCATGGTTTCTACACATTCATGAGGCACAAAATCATATTTTTTTCCCCTCCAAATTAATCATGTCATTCCTGTTAATTTGTGCAGCCGGCTCATTAATTAAATCAATACTTTGCATTCATTATCACAAAGAAGTATGCGAGAAAGAAATCAAACATCGCAGAGGGAAAGCCATTCATGGACGAGCCTGCTGAATATTAGAGCATAGGCAAAAAAAAAAACCAAGAGAGCTCCTTAATTAAAAGAAAATTACATCCATATCTTTGATTTTTTTTTTTCTCTGAAGTTCTTCAAACAAAGAGAGTGAAAAAAAGCAGTTGACCCTGTTTCATTAAAAAGAGAGAATAAGTCTAAGCTGCAGTTGGTCCTTTAGATTTCACACACAGTAACACCTACTTCAATAACGCAGCAAAGAACTAAAAGCACGCCGTCTAGCAGTGAATATTTAACCTCAAGACGGAAACAAGCCAAACAAACTTTGAAAATGTGACCGCCGTCTGCAGTCAAGGAGTCAGAATTCTAAACCAATTAGCTTTTTTAAAAACAAACAAACAGGCAGAGCAGAGCAGTTTGTGCAGGCTCAGGTGTTTTTTTGGATCTTAAAAAGATACACTAAAGCAAACAATAAATAAACTAACCTTGTAAGGGTCTAGAAAGTGCGCAGATCAGTACAAAAAATTTAAGTTTATCTCCAAACTCCAAATAAAGCTTTGACAAAAAGTTTTGGACGAGCGTGTGTGACATCAGCGGCAGAAAAATGAGCAATTTGTGTCGGTCTCAAACTGTTGATAAGTGAATTCTCTCTAGATAGGATTGAGTTGGAGGATGCTCCCAGACTCCCAAAGTCATCTATAATATTGACCGAGAAAAGACACAACAATCGGTCTGAGCGCTCTCATTAAGGGGAAGGGGACGTGTCAACTCAAAAAAAAAAAAAAACAAGGCTGGAATCCACAAAACACCACAGCAATCACTCATTAACAGCAGTAAATTAAATGATGACGAATGACTGACATCCATTTATTTGTTTCTGGAATTTTTACTTCCTAGTCCCTCTAAGATGCGGTAGGGACATTTTCAGTGCACGTATTCGTCATCGCTCAGGTCTGAGTCATCGGCCTCCACCTCTCCTTCAATCACAGACTTCTTCCCTCTGCAGCAGGACACGACCAGGCCGACGAGGAACGCCTGAGAGTAATAAAGAACAAAGCACGCATTAGGAAATCTGTTATGAGGATCGTTTGATCGATACAATGCATCAACAGCAGCGGGGAAAAGAGGCTATTAAGTATTCTGGCTGAGGAGATTAGCTGAGGGCAGCGCTGGAAAATCATTTTTTTTAGTAACTCTTTTTTTTTCTTCAGAGTAGAAATGTTGAAAATACTCATGAACTGCTTTGGAAGTGAAGTTGAATGTTTCATAGATGTTGCTGTAAGGGTTCTTAAGATGGTAAATCACTTTTTTTCCTGGAAATGAGATTAATATCCAACCTGTGAGGAAACATTTCCTCTCAGATTTCTTACCAGGAACATTCGGCCGCATTCACCAACTGTTAGTACAAAGAAATGTGTTCTTGAAACACACTTAGTGCCCGATCACTCAGAAACAGGTCGTACTGAGCACATCTGGGGATAAAACAGCTGGGAGCGCATTTGGGTGATCAAATAAATAAATGTGGAGAATTGGATTTGAGCTAACGTAGAGCTCTCACTGATGTTTTGTTTCTAGATGAGGAGCGGGATACACGTCTTAAAAACTAGAGGTAAAGAGGTGAAGCCTCCTGCTTGATTTGATTGGCTGCTTCGGCCATAAGTGACATTGACTCCGCCTCTTCAGCTGAAAAGTTTACTTTTTTTTTTAAACTTAAATGCACGCCCAAAAACTGCGACAAAAATGCGTTGTGCAGCTGCAGAGAACAGCGCCCGACATGCTCGCTGTACCAGAGGAAAACAACGGTTTTCCTGACGATGCATCTTTGTGTGATCGACCCTTCAGAAGTTTTTAAGAAGATTCTGACATCTCAAGTTTTCTTCTCTGTGATTGGCTCTTATCTAAGAAGACAATTGAAGAACCTTTGAGGGTCCTCTTACAAACATTTGAGAGCTGATAACCCAGGGAAATAACTGTTGGATGTATTTCATTTTCACATTTACATTATTGACTGGCGTTTACAGAGGGATGATTCATACAGTATGGTGACCCTGAATAAAACCCAGAAGGTGCTTGTACCTGTGCGACCACAGAGCAGCTTGAATCTTGTATATATTTGTTGCTGTCGTCTGTACATCGTCACTGTGTTTTACTTAAGTCTTCATGTACGAGCTGCTCCAAACTATTTGCCTCCAAAGGGATTAATAAAGTTGTTTGAATTGAATGAATATGACACATTTGTTTCTAAGGATCTTCTTCAAAACAACTTTAGACTTGGCAAGATGTTTGTGAATCTTCTAACATTTATTTCCATCCTCAAACTTACCCCGATAAAGGCCCAGTTACCAAAGTAATAGATTGTGCTGAAGAACCAGAACTTGTGCAGGAAGAGATATGATCGTGTCATCGTGCATTGGTCTGAAAGAGAAAGAGAGAGAGAAAAATAAACACACAAGAACGTCAGCTATGACCTCCCTTTTTTTACAGGGCAAAGAAATAACATCAATGGCAAACAGAAAAACACTGAGAAACAAACTTTTTCATTCATTCATAAGTGAAGAATTCTATCTGGACAAAAACAGGATATCTACTTTTGTGTCCACACAGGTTGATCGCTTGTTGAAGGGATTTTTAACACAACAAGGTTTTCTTAACCAGCTATTTGTCAAATTGAATTTGGCATTTTTCACTTTGCTACTAAAAGGAGAACATATTTCTATCAATCTGGGTCCAAAAGCAGGTGCATTTTGTTTACAGTCTTTGAGTCTTTCACAGGTGTGAGGTCTCTGCATGTTGCAATGTGAGCGTGCAGTTGCCTGTTGTGTGTAGAGGGCATTGCTGTATGCCATATGTTCTATAAACCGCCTACAGGCATGCATGTTTGTTTGTTTTCGGCAACACCTTGGACAGTGTTCAGACATTTGATGCCCCTTGGCAAGACATGAACTTGCACCTTTGGAGACCAGTTGTCAAAGGAGATCAGCTGGACATACAGAAATTCATCTTGCATCACAAAAAAGTCGAATTTCAAAACGTCAAATGAAAGACTTGTAAGCTCTAAAGTTTCTTTCCTGAGGAGGAAACTTGTGAGATATGAGCAGGAACAACTTCATGACCGCACTCTTAGAAGCTTTCCTCTTTAGTTTGTCAAATACACTTTTAATATAATATTTTCATGATTTGCATTCGAAGGGAATTTGTTCAAAAAATTATCAGTTTTCACTTAAAAAAAAAAGAAAAATGTGTAAAAAGTCACCACTTCTAAAACCTCAGCCGTGATGCTTTTTTCTTCTCAAGAAACATTTGAAGTGAGGAAGAAAAAAAAAAGAGTCATTATATGAAGTAAGACAAAATACATTTCATCTACAAAGCGACTCAAGAAGTGGAAGTTAAAAGAAAATAATGGGGCGACAGATAAAAGAGGAGAGAGACAGAGGAAGAAGAAGATGATGGATGAATAACCTTAAAAGACCGGGATTCATGTCTTTGTTTGAAATGAGAGCTAACTTCTCGGTGGTGTTTTCCATCATCCACACATATATGCATGCATGAAATGAAATGGTATGCTGTTTATAACTGCATGGGCATAGCACTTGTTACATATCTGTGTTGTTAAGGGGGTCTGTGTTCACTTAGGAACATTAACACTGTAAATCGAGCAATGCTCCGGGCAGTTTTATGGGTGTAACCAGACGAGACAAGCAGCCTCCTGAAGAGAGGAAAGCCATGTCACTGTCAGTGCGAATAGAACTTAAACAATGGATCAAACAAGGAGGATGTCATATTTAATAGAGCTTTGCATTAAACATATCCAGTAATGCACATTAGAAAGTCCAAAAGGTGAAAGCACACACACACAACCACACCAAAAGATTATGAAAACAGTGCATCTGAGGCGATGGGTTATACATGAGACCTGGATCTCTGATGAGATGAAGGGGAGGCAACTCTGCCCGAGGCCTCCTGAGGACACTCTGATTATTAGAGTGACTTCAAAATGATGCTTTTTGTTTGATTCATAGAAATTTCATGTGGAAAACATCCCACTCTTTCTTGGAAATGTAACAGCAGCTGAATCCTGATGATGCTTACCAGACTCTGTTTGCATGTGACTTTGATATCTGGAAACTGGAGCCAGGTTAGACACCAATTTGATTACTGCGTTCAAACTTAAAGCTCCTGTGAGGAGTGTCTACCTGGTTATGAATAAGGATTTTCCAAGGCGACATATTTCCTAGTTGGTTCAACTTTTTAAGGAGGTGTTCCGAGAAGTAGGTGTGTAGGACGACAGATTATCACTTGAAGAGAAAAGAAATCCTGCACACTATTCTTGCTAAGCATCACCAATTTATCAGAAACAATCACAACCTTTTCGGCCCCTCTGAACCTTTTGTCAAGTGTGTGAACCGTTGTGACGAAACAGCAGCATGTCTGATACATCCAGCGTCTGAAACATAAACACTAAACAGAGTCCAGTGTCAGCATTGTGAGTTGTTCAACACGATGGCCGCCCAAACACCTGCTACAATAATCACAATCCCAGCAGCATCCAATAGATAGAAAATGTAAACAGTGAGCAGCGTTTAAAAACCAAAAGCATTGTATTTTTAGATCACCTGTCACTGCTGTGAGTGCAGCCATGAATAAACCAGTTGAGTGAACATTTGTGTTTTCCTGTGATGGCATTGCCACACGGGGTTAAAAGAGTCCACTCAAAAAGTATGAAAAGCTTTCCACTTCAGAAAACCGGAATCACAGAGCACCAGCTCACTTTTTATTATCAGAGGGAAGTGTCTGGATTCTGTTCATTGTTTCCCCACTTGATTTCTGCAGATATTTTAAAATGACTAGTGGTGTCATGATTTTACAGATTTTACAAACGATAGCTTTACCCGTATTGTTACCATGGCAACACAAACTAAATGCTCCAATTCCCCTCTTGTGCGTAAAGAGGGGTATTGACCGTCTCCACACATAGATGAAGTGTGTGCATATATGCAGGGGTGAGCCTCAGGCAGTGATTTAACCTCTGATTCTTAAATCAAAAGTAACATCAAAGCGATATTTACAGACATTATTTACAGATGATTGATTTCTTTAGGTTAAAACAGAGGTAGTATTGATGTCCTGACTGACATACTGCTGCACATTTACCAACTTCTCTCTGCATATGTTCACTCAGAGCGTGGCTGTTTGTGAATGAGAAACCATTTGCAACTCTGTTCATTTTCATATAAAGGACAATTTTAACCCAAATGACATCATCAAGGCTTAATTAAATACAAGCTACATCCCCTGCACAGAGACTCTGTTGCTCTGCAGCACAGTTAGGGGAGCATTTTAACCCTTTACTTGCAAAAAGCCACGCAACCCTTTTGTGAATCTCACCATTTGTGTATAAAGATTAAAAAAATTGCAACAGAAACGGGTGAAAACATACTTGCAAACAAACATGCTATTGTTCCAAACACGACTTTAAATGTCGCCATTTTTCTGGGAACCCAGAAAATGATCTGGCATTTGTTGGCTAAACTCTCTTCCTTCCTCAAATGACATTTTGTTGCTGTAACCGCAGAAAGCTCGATCAGTATTGACTGTGCAGCGTGATCATAAATATAAACCCATCAGAACCCTAAACTTGCAGAGAAAGGAGACTCAATTATTGCTTCTGAAATCCAATTGCTCTCTTTGTCTGCAGAGCAGCTCTGTGCTCCATGCTGCTGACATCACCCTTGAGCCTCAGCTCTCCACTTCTTGACAGAAAATGATAGTGCTATTGATCTCACTGGCATAGAGGGCAGGAATAATATACGGATTCTTAAGCTGAGTCATTCCCCTTTTATGTGCTTGAATGAATATTGACAGGCATGGGAAATGCTGGGTGACGTCAGATGTGGAGAGTGCCAGTGATATGCGAGCAGCGTCTGGGTCTCTTCAGAACGCCGATTGTTTTTTGTCTGAAGCCGCAGGAAGACAAGGAAGTCAGGAAAACAAAATGCTTCCCTTAAAATCACATTTATCAATTAGCTCAGCCACACAGTACAGTAAATACAACTACATTTCTTAAAGGCTTTCTATGTGATTTTTCACACTTAAATGTAATATAAATCAAGAATATCCTCTGAAAATAACTCTGTGAGTCATGACTGTCTACAATGGTGTAACACCCGAGTCCCACTGTCTGTGATGTTTTCAGAGTCCTATCTTCACTTTGTTTACATCGCCCGGACGGCCGGCTGACTCCTCCCCTCATGTATAAAAGTTGTTTAATTGAGGGACTAGAGAAAAGAAGAATAACATACTGTACTCACTGCTTAACTGTGTTTCTAGATCACGCTCATTTCAGGTAAATTTACATGCAGTGTGAAGATACCAGCATAATAAAGATCGCTAGCAGTAGCATGCTAACACAACAATGCACCGCGGGTTGTTTTGGTTTCATGCTGGTGCTCAAGGGCGACATCTGCTGGATCAAAAAATCACATATAAAGCCTTTAAAGAGATAAATTGTATAAAAAAAATAAAAACAAAGACAACATGTCTGTTTTTGACAAATTGTATGCCCGATTTGGAAGTGATGAAAAGGCATCTTCTAACATGAAATTGTATATGGCAGCATTGTAGAGCTGAAGTTTTTGCAATTATATGTATTGCAGTAAGAGTAATGGTTTTCTTTTACATAAAATTGCAAAAAGATTCTGCTCTACATTACCCATCAATACTCCAAAAGACTCAGCCTCTCTGGGATGCTCTATTTAGACAAATCATGTTGCAAACCTCTAGCCAGTTGCGAGGGGTGCGTCCCAAGTCAGATTGCGGTGGCAGCAGGCGCAGTAAGTCAATCCAGACCTCCCTCTCCCCAGCAACGTTTCCCAGCCCCTCCTGGGGGAATCCGAGGCATTACCAGGCTAGACGGGATACATAATCCCTCCAGCATATTCTGGGTCTGTTGATTCACATAAAATACCAAAGACATGTTGTCTTGGCATGCAGCAAAGGATCGAGGTCAGACTCGAACCCACAGCCACTGCAACGAGGACTAGAGCCTCTGTGAGCGACATACACGCTAGGCCATAGGCGCTCTGTGCTATTTGCATTCTTATAACGGGGTTTCAATGTTTTGATAACCATCACATTCTGTTTTTATTTACATCTTACTGTGTCCCAACTTCTCAGGAAAAGGGATTGTAAAGAGAAAATAATTCAATGTGTACACTTTCACCAGCACATGCAGCTTTAGGAAGCTGAATATAAAAGGATCTGCACTGTCTGGCTATGTTAGAGAGCCATCTGGAGCTTTAACGCTAACCCTGCTGAGCTGCTCCTATCACACTGTTTCTTACACAGCTCTTCACACCGACTACAACCCCACAGACTCTAACAATCAAACTTTACGGAGGCGCATGACATCGAGGTCC